ACTTGCCTCAGACGCACGTAGCTGCCTGACCCTACCATACTCAATCCCGGCTGCAACTAAATCAAGGCCCAGAGCTGTACCTGTCCTAAGCGAATTGCAGATGGCCACGCACCCATCATACTCTGCATCCTCACTCTCAGGTTCTGGCTCATCGGCTGCTGGTTTCCGGGAGAGTGCATCAGCTGCAGAATTGCACCTACCAGGGCGATATTTCACATCAAAATCGAATACAGCCAGCTGACCAACCCACCGCTGTTGAATAGCCCCTAAATTGGCAGTAGAAAGATGACACAGAGGGTTATTATCGGTGATGATGGTGAATTTGGATCCTAGAAGATAACTCCTAAACTTTTCAGTGACCGCCCACTTTAGAGCAAGGAGTTCCAACTTCATACTGCTGTAATTTTGGTCATTCCTCTCAGCCCCTCTGAGCCTTCGGCTTGCATAAGCGATGACTTTTCGCTTCCCGCCGTGGTCCTGGTACAGGACTGCACCTAAACCTTGAATGCTAGCATCTGTCTCTAGCACAAAAGGGGAATCAAAGTCTGCGTAGCCAAGCGTGGGGGCGCTGGTCAGCTTCTCTTTTAAGAGTTCAAAAGCTTGTAGGCACTGTGGCTTCCAGGCTAACTTGAACAACTCATTCTTCCTGGGATCACTGCTCTCTTTGATGCAAACATTTACAACATCGTGAAGGGGCCCTGCAATTTGGGAGAAACCCTCAATGAACCTTCTGTAGTAACTGCAAAACCCTAAAAAGGACCGTAGCTCTTTCACGGTACTGGGGATGGGCCATTTCTTCACTGTACCTATCTTGTCAGGGTCTGTACCAATACCTTCAGCTGAAACTTGATGACCAAGAAACTTGACTTCAGGCTGGAGAAAATGGCACTTCTTCATTTTGACTTTTAGCCCTGTCTCTCTCAACCTCTTGAAGACTGTCTCTAACCTTACCAAGTGCTCCTGAAATGATGATGAAAATACAAGCAAGTCATCCAAGTAGACCAATACTATCTGTAGCACCAGATCACTCATTGTGGTCTGCATCAGGCGTTGAAAGGTTGCAGGTGCGTTACAGAGCCCAAAAGGCATCCTCAGGTACTCATAGAGCCCGAATGGTGTAGTGAAAGCAGTTTTGTCCCTATCTTTCTCATGTACAGCAACCTGATGGTATCCGCTGGCGAGGTCGATTGTCGAGAAGAACTTTGCGCCACTCAGGGCGTCCAAAGTTTCATCAATTCGGGGCAGTGGAAATGCATCACGCCTGGTCTTCAGGTTCAGCCTCCTGTAGTCCACACAGAGTCTTAAACTTCCATCAGACTTGCGCACCAACACAATAGGCGAGGCATAGGAGCTTGAACTTTCTTGGATCACTCCTTTTCTCAGCAGTTCGGAGATATGTTCCCTGACCTCCTTGTACTGATTAGGTGGAATGCGCCGGTAAGGTTGTGAAACTGGCGTCTCGTCAACCACAGGGATTTCATGTTTCACCTTGTCAGTGTATCCGAGATCTTCATCGTGAATTGCAAACACATCTGCATACTTCATCAGAAGCTCTCCTAATTCCACCTGTTGTTCTGGCGTACCTCCTAGGTGTAGCTGCTTTAATAGGTTCTGCATGTCGCTGTCACCTCCATGATCATCCTTCCGGTGAATCGTCACTTCCTCGTGGTCAGCGGTGATACGCTGAAACTTCACCTCGCAGGGGTCGCCGTCTACATACTGACACTGACTGAGGACGCCTAACCTCGTCTTTGGGGATAACCACACATCTTCCGGTGAGAAGTTGACTACTTGGACCGGGAACACCTGGCTGTCGGCTGACACCACCGTGGGGAACACAATCAACCCACCAGGCAGTGGTGCAGGCCCTGGCTCTAGCAGCATGCTGGAGTCCCCACGCAGCGACTTCCTGAGCCCCCTGGCATAAACCGTGGCAACAGCTGAAGCAGGTATATGCACTTTCTGTTTTCCTACCACGTGGGCTGTAGACACTTTTCTGGCAAGTTCTGCCCCTTGCATTTGATGGAATGCGTCTCTCCACTCAGAATCCAGCACCCCCTGTAGAGCTGTGTCAAACTCTGACATTACCATCTGTCGACACCTTTTTGCGATATTCATCCCAATAATGCCAGGTGGAGATGGATCTGCTCGCTTGGTATTATCGTTTCGGATTATTAAGAACCCACACTCTGGAATGTTGAATCCCATCACCTGTACATCTAACTCAACATAGCCTAAATAGGGAAGAGGTAACTGATTGGCTGCTGTAATTTTAAGCCATTTAGCTGTACAATGCATGTCTTCATCTTCCCCATGCAGGTGATCTCTGAAAAAGTTTTCTGTCAAAGTGCTTACATTGCTACCTGTGTCCAGTAGGCACCTAAGCGGAACACCACCAATCTGGATGTCTACCTCCGGGCACTTGCCTACAGCATGTTGTAGAAACCGTTCTTTGGTGAGGATATCCTGTGAGCCTTTCGACTTGCCTCGCATTGCGCAGCTCATAGCAATGGAGGGTTCCTGTTTCCCTGAACCGCAGGATTGGGGTGAAGGTTAGAAGATCCTCCTGCGTCACGTTGTCGATTGCAGTGTCTCGCCATGTGCCCAACCCCCTCACATCGCAGACAAATCGGCTGTCCATCATCTGTATACTTTGGCTTGATTTTAAATCGAACCTCCTTGGTTCCCCTCTCTGAACTAGCATGGTGGATTGTGAGATCACGGACTGCATTGGTTAGCTCACTTATTGCTTTACCCTGCTGCGCAATTATTTTAACTACGTCCTGCAAAGTGGTGGTTAGGTCCGTCTGTGCCTTATCGGCCATATCAGTCCCTGCTGCAACCTCGTCTGGGTCGCCGCCCACAAGCTTTCGGCTCCTCACCACATTAGTGCTATGAGGTCGGTCTTCAAGTGTCCACATCATTGCCTCTTCTCGCACATCAAACAGGCTTAGGCCAGGCTTCTCCCTAATAAGCCGACGCAACTCACGTCGAAGGGTGGAGTCACGTACCCCTTCAATTAACTGGTCTCTAAGTGCTAACTGTACATCAACTACAGCGTTGGGGGACTGTTGAAGAGCAGAATTAAGCAGATGTGAGAGCGCGTGTGAAAAATCCCGCAAGTCTTCCCCGTCTAACTGCCTGCGCGCATAGAAAGCATGCAAGAGTTGTGGTGTAGTACGTCTCTCTCTGAATGCCTCCCTCAGGTATGAAAACAGATCACTGGATTGCTTAACCTGTCCACCCACACGTAACTTAACCTCCTCCAGAGCTGACCCCTTTAACTGCGAGAAAATGAAATCCACCTGCTCCTCCCCCTGTAGGCCCCTTGCTCTCATCGTACGCTCTACCTCCTCTATGAACTCATCAACAGTGTGAACGTCTTTCCCTGGTTCACCACTAAAAGGCACAATTTGTTTTTCTCTCGGAATGTAAACAATGGACCTCGGTTGGGCATCACCAAGGTTGGCAATACTTGACATCACAGCATCATGTTTTTTTCCCAGTTCCAAAATCTGTGCCTGCAGTTGTACCACGAGGTTACCTCCCTGGTCTCCCATGGAGGCAGCCAGATTGTCCTCATGGCGGCTGGACCCAGCCGTTGGAGCAGCTGCCCTCTCTTCCTCGTCCGACATTTCAACGTGTCCCCTCCTGTGTCCTCACTACAGCAAGATGACAGTTGTGACGCTTCTCACTCCAATCCCGATGGTCCTCTCTTCCCGCAGTCTACAGCAACGATGCAGTCTCCCTCGTCGAGGAGCACTGGTCACCCTGCTGCTTCTGGGACCCCTCACCAGTAGTCACCCACTCTGATCCTGGATCTGGAGGCTCCTTAGCCACTACTGTTGTTTTTATATGTATTATCCCTGTCCGACTATGATCTCCAAATTTGCCGGGGACCCCACTTCTGACACCAAAATTAGTGTAGCCTGATTAAAATGATGACAGGACACTAAGATAAATTTATTTCTCTTTAATGTGGGTTCTTTATTTCCCCCGACTGCACTCCTGGAACACAGCCTTAATGTGTCAAATTAAGGAGGCACTTGGAACAGTGTACAAATAACCAATTGCTTCGCTTCACTAACTAATAGGATGTAATGGAATAGAGCTAACGATTACCTTAAGCTAGAAATTACGTGAAGCTAACAGTTACATACAAAAAAAAAACAACAGTAGTGACCCCTTCCTGTTAAACAGAAACAAAAACATGCACATTGGTCTCATGCTGTTCAAATCCCACACCATTGTCGTTCCTCCAAAAAGTCCCGAAAACAAACTCACTCAAGCGCCGGCGCGCACGGCTCCATGCACGTGCAACCTCAACCCACAGCAGCTTGTTACTCCCCTCTAAACGAAGCAGAGGTGCACAACCCAAGAACATACACTCAGTACAGGCAATCAATCACAATTTACATGGTGAGTCAGGTTTATTAATGTTAGAACACTTACGCTGACCCGCTGAACAGGTATTTCCCTAACGCTGTTCCGATGCTAACCGCTAACACTGTGTCGTGTTAGTAGCCACTAGGTCCCGCTCTGCAGCTCCAAATCCCACGTGAACTCATGCCCATGTACTTAAAGGGGCAGTACGCCCTCACCCTCTGTGCGGACCATCTAGCAGTCCAAAAACCTCCCTGCCCCCACTTCACCCGGCTACACTCAGGTGAGTCAATGGTGGGTCGACAGGAGGAGGTCAGAGATTAGGGTGACAGAGGAAGAGATGTGAGGTGAAGATCAAGGAGGTTTGGGTGCATGTGTGGGGGACTTGGGTACTCAGCGGTTTCCGGTGGGCCTCCAGTCTTTCCGGTTCAATCTGAAACTGATGATCTATTTCTTGGCAGCGAGTAAAAAGTTAAGGAATGCATGGTCTGTGATGTGTGTTCAAAGTGCAATGCTTAATCTGCCTCCCCCAACTGTAAAACCCCCCAGCAAAATCAGAAACATTGCATCAGAAAATCTCCAGAGAGGAGACTCACCCTGGAGCAGCATACGCTCTGATCGCTGTGAGATTCCAGAGCGATTGTCCAAGTACGGGGGAAGAAGAAGCAGAGTGTCATTTTCGTGCCAGCAATTAGTCAGTAACAGTGGGTGTCCTCATGATGTTCTCCATTTCCCTTTGAAAGATGAATTCCTCTGGATTAGCGCAAATGCCTTTCCAGTGTTAAGTGTTTGCTGACCACATGACCTGAAGAATGCTATTGATCACTTACAACGATTGTTTTCCTTGTGTTTGTTGCTCTCCTTCCCGATACTGCTCCACCTGCAGGATGACATTGAACACGCACTCAGCTGAGCACACCTGGGAGTGAGGGTTATCAACAAGTCAATAACTAAAACCCAGCAGAGCGGTGAAGGTTATAGAGGTGTGATATGCATGCGGACTGCTAATGCGTGACTACCTGTGTGCATCGGTGCACTTTTCTGGTAAAGGTTTCTGCAGTCTGTTATGACGCCGAGGTATTCCTCCTCTTCCTCATTACTGCTGATTTACTCCACAACTCGGTGAAAGCAGGCAGGATGGACCTCCCACCTCCCCCACGAACTCACACACACACACGCACACACATGCACACACACACACACACACACACACACACACACACACACACACACACACACACACACACACACACACTGCCCTGCACCCCCTGCACCTCTCTTCTTCCTTCTCTTTCCCTATCTCTCTCCTTCTCATTCTCCTGCCGCTCACAGACAATGGGGCCCTGGAGAATACCGGCTTGTGCTGAATTATTCAAATCAGCGGTGGCAGCAAGCCGGAGAGAGCAAAGGAGAGAGGCAAGGAGGGTAGAGGAGAAAGAAGGGGAAAGACAGGTAGAGGGGTAGAAAGTGAGGGAAGGAAGATGTGAAGGGGGAGGGGAGAAACAGAGAGAGAGAGAGAGAGAGAGAGAGAATGGCTTTGTGGAAGTGATGGTTCTTGCGGTCTCTGCATGCAAATAGCCTTTTGCTCCTCTCTCTTCCCTTCTCCATGAGTCACCCCCCTGCCCTTCACTGCTTCATTAATACACATCTGTACCCCGGCACTCCCCTCTGCCTCCCTTCTCCGTTCTCTTCGGGTGAGGAGGAAGAGAGAAACAGAAGAGTGGGGGAGGTGGTGGTGAGGGAGGGAGGCAGGGTGGTGGGGAGGCGCTCGACAGCAGCAGCACGCTGTTGGCAGGAGAAGAATGTGCCGGTAATTAGCCAGCACCGATACATACAAAAAAAAAAAAACCCGGAGAGGAGAAGAAGAGGAAGGGAAAAAAGAGCAAAGCTCTGAAAACAAGCCTCCTGCCGGGCTAAACTCCCCAGAGGGGAGACCTGGACATGTCGGTGTGCAGAGTGGGAACAAAGGAAGAAGAGGCGAGCTGGGGAAAAGAAGGGAGGCTGAGGAGTCGGCCTGTGACAGCACCTGCGGAGATGGAGAAAGTGTGTGTGTGTGTGTGTGTGTGTGTGCACGTCGGCATTATTTTCTTGTGATTGTGATTGCCTCTCAGTGAAGGATGCCTTCAGATGCACAGATACAAGAATCATCAACAGAATGTCTGTACCGGACTATACCAGATTAGACTGTGGGGGAACAGCTATGTCTATTTGACGTATTCAAAAGAAATACGAAGAGACTCAAGAAAGAAGCCTTCCGATGCTGATTAGTTGTCTGAATATGCAACTCACCCTCATTCAGGCTGCACAGAATCTGCACAGAAGCTACGAAGGTCAAGGCTTACTGATCATTTATAATTCATAATGATTATAATAATAATCATAATTTTCTTCCCAGCAACATAGTTGCCAGACAGGTTGCTTAGCAACATAAAAAAGTATATGCATAACGATCTCTGATGAAATGGTTTAATATTCCCTGCATTTACTTTACTTTACTTAACAGCTTGAGACGTGATTCAACAAATCTTGCACAACTATTTGTCATAATATGTACTGGACACTTTTAGCCGTGATAATGCTAACACAGCAGATGGCCTCCTGAAGTGTGCGTTCCACCAATGATCTGAAATAAAAACGTCATGCCGACGCCTGATGTTGTCGAAGGTTAATGAAGAGACTGTGTCATGTCCTTACTAATGAAGTAAAAGCCTCAACATTTTACCTAGAGCTGTTTTTTTTTAAAGCAGAGCATGAAAAAAATCAGTGGAGACAGATAGATGTATAGACAGCTCGATCGATAGATGCATAGGTAGATGGAAAGAGAGCTAGATAGAGAGAGATATAAGTAGAGAGAAGAACGGAGAGCGAGATCTTGACCCCCGAGTCTTTTGCTAGCCTCATTAGTGAGAGAACTTGGTTCATTAAATGATGTGAGGGAGGGTGTAGGCTATAAGCACAGATCACACACTGAGAGGCTGTCCCGATATTTTTCTTTGGTTAAGTCGGTGTTTATGTAGCAGACTGAAAAAATTCAAGGTGAAGTCTGCAACTATATGCAACCAACGTTTGTTATTGGTCCCAAAAGAGCACGCCCCTTGCCACTCTTGTCTGTGTTTAAAAAATGCAGATAAAGTCTTCGCAAATGTATTTTGTGCACATTTGTAAAACATGCAACTCTGTAATTAAACAAACGTGCGTGTAGAAAATGTCTCTGTTACGCTCGTTCCTCGCTTTCATCGATGCGTGGTGGCCTCTTATCGATTTAGCCCCCATGCACCTGATTGCGTCAGGCCCGTCCAGCCGTGCGAAGCCCCCGGGAGAGACTCACCGTGGTTTGACGTGGTCCATGCTTCCCTCTAGCACAGCAGCCAGCCAGCCAGCCAGCCAGCCAGCCGGCCAGCCAGCCAGCCGGCCGGCCGAACGGCCAGCGGGGCGGCCAGCCTTCCCAACGTCCCCACGCACAGTTTGGAGTGTCAGCCCAGTGTGCTCCACTGGGAGCTGGGCTTGGCAGTGCTGGTTACAGAGCTCAGATGGGCAGCTGATGGGGCCTTCTGCACAGCAGCCCCACGAGGGCAGGTAGAAAGGATGAGAGGGACAGGTGTGTTTATGTTGTACTTGTTGCCCACCCTCCCTCCCTCCCTCGGAGGCCAGGACAGATGCCCAAGCCATTGATTTTGGCACTGACAGGGGAACCAGACAAAGGGGAAAAGGGGACATGCAATGAAGGGCAAGACAATAAAATGTGATGTGATGGTATTAAAATTGGTCTAATAAACTGCGCACTAAAAATCAATAGAGGGTTCCTCTAGGATTTAGTTTGTGACAAAGTCGTCCCTTCATCCACAAAGGTCCGTGCACATGATTTCCGGGGCTAACGTTCCCCGCCTCGGGCGAGAAACACATTTCCAGGAAATCCATTTCTCCCGATGTTGCCAGGGCCGTTTACGTAGTGCCTCCTCTCAGCGCGGCCTTTTAGAAATTAAAACTACCCCAAGCTCTTGGAGCATCGTGCCGTTTCTAGGATGACGACTGAGGCAAAGTCAGGCCGTTTGGTTCAGCAGGTTGCAACGCTTTGAGTAATTTGGGTTTGGGGAATCTAATTAGGACAATTAAGTCCTAATTACTATATAAACACGTTCCTCTGCCAAAACCCTAGACCCCTAGAGTGAGGCCTCTGCACCGCAGAGCCTCCCATTCTGCCCTGCTGCATAAAGAGCATTATGGCCCTGAGAAGATCCCTTTGCTAAGGACAACGATTCATCAGCTACTATATAAAAAAACACATTTTATTATGTGGGAGATTCTTATGGTTCTCAAAATAAGACTCATTTGGAAAATTGTTCGTCCACTGTGGTTGACATCTTATTTTAACGATTTCTAGGTTTTAAGAAATGGAATCATCCATATTACTCACAGAATCCAATGATGTAATTATGAAATGGTACTCTCATGTTTTTATACATTGAAAAAATAAAGATATTCATCACAATGGACAAAAATCCATTTAAATTATAGATGTGAGTTCAGCAAAGTGTAAAGTCACTGAAGTAAAGTTACGAAAATAAATTGTCAAAATAACCAATGACCACTACGAACTTATAAAACCACCCAAACAGATGACACACTATACCCTCTGCGGCTGCAGCTGAAAGTAGAGGTGGAGTAAACAGACAGAGGCACTAGACAGGACGGGGCCGGGTTGTTCTCCCTCCGCTCAGGAGGCTTAGAGGAGAGAGAACAGGGAGGCGACAGGTCGCCAGGGTGCCGTCACTTCTCCGGATCAGGATTCTTTGCAAAAAAAGAGAAAAGGGATTTAGCTACATGAGGTCAAAGAGGTACCACGAGCTGTTATACTTTACATTACATGTCATTTAGCTAACGCTTTTATCCAAAGCGACTTACAATAAGTGCATTTTAACCATAGGGTACAAAATCAGAACAGCAAGAAACAAGAAAGTGCAATTTCCTCAAATAAGCCAATTTACAATTTGCTATAGATAAGTGGCGTTATAAGTACAATTTAAGTGCTACAATTCGTTAGTCTTTAGTCGAGGTAGAGTCTGAAGAGGTGTGTCTTTAGTTTGCGGCGGAAGATGTGAAGGCTCTCTGCGGTCCTGGTGTCTTCAGAGAGCTCGTTCCACCATTTCGGAGCAAGGACAGCAAAGAGTCGTGATCTGGTCGAGTGTTTTGCTCTCAGTGAGGGAGGGACGAGCAGTTTTGCAGATGCAGAGCGGAGAGTGCGGGTCGGGACGTCGGGTTCTACCATGTCCTGGATGTAAGCTGGACCCGATCCATTCACAGCACCGTACCTGAGCACCAATGGGTTGAACTGGATGCGGACAGCCACCGGTAGCCAGTGAAGAGAGCGGAGGAGTGGAGTAGTGTGGGAGCTTAGTCTATTCCAACTTGTATATGCTGAGGATTACAATCCCTCCTTCTCTTCATCATTCATAATAACATCATTACCGTGTCATTTTTGGCAGTGATGAGACTCTGAAATGTTATTTAGTCCCTTTAGTCCAGATTCTCTTGAAAAAATACTTCTATGGAATATTCTCCATGTCTAAAGTATTGTAATTAACCTTTAGTTATTTTTTTACTGACTGATATTACATTTAAAATACTTCATCTGCCGTTCTTAAAGTTTCCCACGGAAAAATGTTCTTTAATCAGGGACCTATGATGCCAGATTTGAGTCCAGGGGGGATCCTGGCTGCCCTTCCACACCCTGCCCACCTCCAGCAGCACATGAGCACCCTAATTGTCACGCCACTTCCCATTACACATGTCATTCGTCATGCCACGCTCCTGTGCCCGCGTGCCGAGCCAGCTGCACAGAAGGGGGCGGAAACAGGGCAAGGCGGCCATGTATCGATGTCACTTGAACTTTGGTGTTAGAAGAACAATGATCCCTTTTGGGAGCTTTTTCCTGCCACGCAATTATCATTGTAAAGAAGACACTCATTTTTCACAAACATTATGAGCCTGCATTGTCAGGTAGCTTATTTTGGTTTATGTTACCAAATGTATTTTTAAATAGTAAATGGACTGTTTATTTCAAGATGTTGCAGTTGTCTCAAAGTAGGTGTCTTTTTAAATTTGGGAGCTCTCATTATGAATACAGCTTAACAGAGTCCCCTTTCTTCTCCCAGGTTTCTCACATGAGGAACCAATATATTACTGTTGGGTTGGGTTAAAAAAATAGT